CAGCAAAGGTACTGCAGTGGGGAGTACGGTAGCTAGAAGGAGACGAATGGGTTGGGGATGGCGCCAAAGGTGATAAATGCCAAAAACCGCCCAGATCAGAGCAGCGGTAGGGCGCATAATGATAGTAAGAACGCCTATGAATATATACGGCCATACCACACTATTGAGGCGTCTATTCTCAAAAGGGTACCACAACAGCCCAATCAGAGTAAGCGACGTTTCCAACGAATTAGAAAGGGTGCGCGGGGCGCAGTATATGAGAAACCACGAGGAAAGGTAGGTGATCAACGTATAGAAAGCCGCATCGTTTGTAAGCAATAAACGGCGGGATAACTTATAGAAAGAAATATCACCCAATGAAAAAAGAAAAGCATGGAAGATGCGAGGTGCATTGGCAACGATATGTTGAGAATCAAGGCCAAATCTCTGAAGGATTTTGAATATGATGGCAAATACTGTAGGATGAAGTGGAGAGCGCAGGCCATATTTCCACTCCCAGCTTAGGTGACCAGTGCCAAATACAGCACGATGGGCAACTTCAGAAGATTGATACACTTCGTCCGGCACGAACCAACTCTGTATGATGACCACACCAAGCAGACGAAAAACCAAAAGCAGCAGCCAGATTTGGAAGGTGCGCATCATGAGTTCACTGAAATAGACCAATTGTAAGGGTGAGGATAACGCCAAGGCCAGTCCTCACCCTTACGTGTGGTCTACTGACTGCCTTAGACAATTCAGAAGCTTTTACTGACACACAAGCACAGACAAGACCAAGAGTTAGGACTGACCTATCGATGAAACTAATGGTTAAAAAGTCAAAAAAAACAAAAATTCTGGGCGCTAGCGTAGGTGGAGTAGGCTACAACAAACGAGGCGACGACATTAAGCCAATGTAAGTCTGGTCAACTGCGTTCAGTAAAAGTGGTCACCTCCTCGAAGCGTGGGCCCTCCAACAGCGTCAGTGCGGGATGCCGTTGTTAGATAAATTCCTAGTGAAACGAAACAAATGAGATGCTAAGGGAATCGAGAAGGAAGGAGAGGGGGGTTATATCGAAGCCGCAATAGCCTCTATGTTGGCTATGCCTTCCATCTCTGGGAAATAGCTGATTCGTTTCGCCCAAGCCATGTTATGTTCCACCAAACGCAAGCACACAGACGTCTATGCCCTTTTGAGGGAAACTCTGCCAGAAAATCACGACTTGTTCGAAATTTCCTTCACTGGTAGACTCCTCTTCCCCATTTCCTACCGACTCCCCCTATTTTCTATTTCCCACAACACTTGTTGTGGGAGTTTTTCAGTTTTTCAATTTTTGAAAAAACAGGCGTTAGGGGGAGGGTGGAGGGATGAGTGGGGTATATATCGCATGAGAAACGAGGAAAAAAATCCAAACAACCGAAAAATTTTCCCAGATAACTCGAGACCTCCCCCAGCGATTACTCGCTAAAGATCCCTACTCACTAACATGACCTTTGCAGCCCGATGATCACAACACGAAACGGCCTAGTTCCCGCGCGCAAACCCTGGACCTCCCTCCAAAAACTTTCTCGGCATCACTGATATTCAGACATTTTTGAAGTTTTAACGAGAATCGCAATCCGATTTTCTATTCATCAAGTTAAAAAATGGCTTAGCAACTGACCTTTTTAAGGAATCGAACAATCCTCTTCAAATCGTATTCTGTACCAACACCCTGAACAGTGGTGATAGTCTTCCTTCCAGTACGTTGTTGAATTCGAATGTGGCAAAAGCCTTGACGCGCACCGTGCTCGTCTTCTAGCTGCTCGAACGCGTCTGAAACGAGCAGAAGCTACTTGAGCGTTCAAAGATTAGTAGCAGTTAGAAAAGTAAAATAAGAATAGAAGCTTTCGTTGATCAATCCTAGTTTGGGTTCCGACAGACTTTCTACTTTGCACCCAGCATCGCAGCAGACGATTTGAACGCGATGCAGCCTAGTCAATGTATGCCGGAGCCGATGTATAAAAACGTGTCTCATTACTCCAGCGCATTCTGGACCAGTTTTCCGTCCCCGGAGGATGCGCGTGTGCTAAGCCAGCCATATGTTACTACGCTACCTTGGCCTTGTACTTAGGGAAGTATTTTTAACGAGTCAAAACCACAACATTTCCTAGAAAAATCCCTAAATCACCCATATTTTCCGATAGGCCGCAGTTACTTTCAGTGACTAGGGACAATAAGAGGATAGGACACATAGTCACATTCGCGTTCAGGGGAATGCACGTCATATTAAACAGAGGGAATCGATCAACTACGGGAGCTTGAGGGGGGGAGGGTGGCATATGGTGAATGAATTGTACCAAACGGGATCGAAGTCGACTTGCCTGCTTGCTACAGAGTTCGCTATTAGCCAAGTACTTCACTGTGCGCACTTTCCAAAAAACGCGGAGATCGCAACTCCAAACGTTCTCTTAGCTCGAACTATTGAACACAACCTGTAGACCCATCTTTCGTCTAAAAAAAAAAAAAACCTTTCAAATTTTCGCACAGCAAGCATGCCTATGAACTCATTTTAATTTATTTCAGGCGAAGACCAGCACGCAGTAGTACCGATGGACCTGATCCACACAACGGCTAGACTAGTGCAGGATCAACTGTTCAGTTAGTAAAGTGTTATTAAGCGCGTCACTTCACTCCACCGATTCAAACTGTATTTCCGCTTCGAATATAGGACTGGTTAAAAAGGCGTGTGGTGGGTGATTATGTTTGAATACGCGCTGCATGCATGAAGTCACACACCAGCCTTCAGGTTGATAAGTGCGTTCCGTTTTTTTGTATCTTTTGGTATGGTCCCGGGACCTCTGCTGAACATAAATAAAACAAAGAAAGCCCAACAAAGCATGAAACGATCCTTCGGCTTGGTCAAATTGCGTGATAATTCCCGAATCAAAACAGTAGAGGACTTTGGCCTAAATGAGTTTACAACCTAACGTGCTTTATTGAGCAGATGACTGAATAGGAGATAAACAGCAGGAAAGCGAGGACGCTAACAAAGATGTCGAAGGGTGCCAAGTACGAGTTACCAAGGCAAAATCCAATGGATACCACGACGACGTTGCGAAAAAAGGCAACCACCGCGCCAACGACAGCGCGAAATGGGGCCATTGAATGGCACCAGGCCGCAAGTTTCGTCATATGTGTCACAGCAAAGTAATACAAAACTTACGACTATAGTGCAAGTTCTGGCCATGTAGTTTGACAGTTGAATGAGCTTAAGTTCACGAAACATGCAGAATGTGATCGAGGTGTAAATAAAACGAACTCAAACTACATAAAACATCGAAGAGCGTAGCCTGCTATTTATGGAAGGAATATTGACTCATATTCCCACACACTCCGAAATCACGTGTTACGCTCTCCCCTGAGATAAAGGCGACCGACAGACGAAACGTTAATTCTCAACACAAATGTACTACTAAAATGTTTGAAAAGTAGGCAAAACAATCGAAAAGAATGTACAAACGTTTTTGATACAGTCGCCTAAATAATTCTAAAGGTGGGAGCTTGCTGTTGAACGCTGTGGTCCGGTACGGAAAACCTCGGTGCCGCAGTTGCTACCGTATCATTTGCGTGCTTGAATTATCGCTTTTATTATTACGCACGAGGTTTTTCGTATTAGAAAGCTTCATATCCACGGTATTTGGGAACTTTGCTCGTGGTTGTGTACTGTGTACGCTCTGATCGCTGCAGATCGGGTCTGGAATTAGTGCTAAATGGAAGCATTTTGAAATAGGAGAGCTCCAGTCTTCTGTCATTTACATAAAACTTCTAGCCCTATTGGTTTCTCTGACTTCATAGTTGTCGCTTTTCGATTTAGGCTGGTAGTTACCTTGTCACGTGCTAAGATTTCATTTTCGTTGTTTTAAGTGATTGGACGTCGAATTGTAAATTCTGTTTAATCTTGCAAGTGCCCTCCATTTTAAGCGCGTAAGTCAGATTGAACAAGTGCCTTGTTTAGTATTTATCCGATATCTAATTCTTTTGTTGCATTGTATAGTTGCGATATCACATTTTCTTGTTTAACTTGACTGATTTACGAATTTTTTGGATCATTTTTTTGTTTGAACTTTCCTTACAAGGTCTTCTTAAGTAGACGTTGAAAGTTTAGCTAGGTATGAAGCTGCATTAATATCTTGGTTGTGGTTTCAACATTTACTTGAGGAGTCTCACTGACAGTTCGTTCGTTTTTTTTGAGGGGTACAGAATCTGATAGTTTGGTCGTGCTTTTATTCATGCCCAATCAGATTTTCGCTCCTGCCATGTCTTCGTCGTTCTTGTACTTTTTGCATAGAGTTGAAGTCGTTACAGAACTTGGCAAAGTCAGAATGAGTCGCGTTCGTACCAAGACCGTCAAGAAGGCGTCCAGGGTGATCATCGAGAAGTACTACACCAAAATCACTCACGATTTCCACACGAATAAGCGAATCTGTGACGAAGTAGCCATCATCGGCAGCAAACAATTGAGAAATAAGATTGCTGGGTGAGTACTTGTCTTGGAGTTTATTTCAATTGTTGTTGTCAAAGTGTCATTTGTTTCAATTGTTTATTTGAGAACATAATTCATTTGCACATTTAATACTTGATATTTCATTTTACTCATACAGTCTTTATTGTTCTATTCCTTGGGATGAGGAGAAAGTATATCCTAGTTTTGGCTTGGCAATATTGCTGCGCGCTAGGGAAAACTCACTTTCGCAGGTTTTGATCGAATATAGTGGGACATTTGGTGCAGTGTTACCTTGGATCACGGTGGTCGTGATCTCAAGATATTTGTCAACCGAGCAGCATTCCTTCCCCTTCTTGTTTCTCCTTAGCGTCTAGTTCTGGGAGGTACAAGAAAACCACAGCGAACCAGGGAACGACGATCTTTCCCAGGCTTAGAGGGGAAGGGCGGATGAAGTACTGCGGCCCGCGGCACTCCTTGCCAGTTTGCTTGGGCAGCTTCCCTCTGCTGATCTTTTTTAATCAAAGAAAGACTTTTGTAATGGTGCGGATGGCACCTATCCTCCAAATCTCAGAGAGCACGTTCGTAGTTCGCGAACCGATTTTGATCGCACGATGAGATCGCTCGTGCGTTTGGATCACTGGAGAATTGTTGAAGTTCAAAATTTTGTCATCTAGGGAATTCACTCGCAGCCTATTGCTTCTCGACAACATGTAACTAGCCTATTGAAAATGACACAACCTTAAGTCCTTTTCCCTCTTGTGAGAGCGTATAGGTTTTCATGGAAGACATACCTGATATCAAAAGGATTTCGAAGAGAAGTAGGCACAGGAATGCTGGTGTGGGGTGGGCGGCTTAGCTAGTATTTCCTACTTAACTCGATGTAGTGCAGTTGGTCCTGATGTCCCATGACACCTTTGTCGCATCATGGCAACGTGAAGGTCACGTCTCACACTCGCTGGGCGAGTAGCGTGTACTGGCTGTCGTCATCAGGAGAGTAAAGAACTGCATTACGAATACTGGATCTGAAAAGAATGGTAGCGAAGGTCTGACTACTTACGCTTGACCCTAACTAAAGCTCAGAAGAACTCGAACCTCCCCTTCCTTGTTCGTTGATCAAAGGACGCTTTGCTCTAAAATTAGCTGTAAAGTTTCCCATCCTTGTCATACTTAAAACTTTGCTCCATCACAGACTTGCCGTCATGGAGATCGGTTGCGTAGAGCTGTTCATTTTGTTCTGGTTCTTTATGATCACCTTGATATTTTTCTACCAAGTCTCCCTCTGTGCAGTTCTTCTTTCGACATCCATTACTGTACCACGTAGCTCCTCTTTGAGCAGGTCGGCGACGAAAGGAGGGGAGGGGGTATTTTGCACTTGCGCTACTTCCCAGCCCCATCGACGTGTCGAGCCATCAAATGGAGACCTATGAAATCTTGTGAAGCCACGAAATGGCACCGGCTAAAGTCTGGAGAGACCACTTCAGCTATTGTGAAACGATCAAATACCACACAAACACCATTCACCATGGTGGCTCAACGCGTTTGCTCTAGCTTCACAAGCATGCAGGTTTCAGCGGAGTGAGACTTGTAAATCGGAACTAGTGAAGCAACGAACGTGTAAAATGCCCTCTCCCGTCCCAGGATACTTATCAACCGCGAAGCCTCCCTCATCCTTCACTTTTTCCTCCCTTCTCTCTTTCTTCTTCCCTTTCCTTCTCCTTTGAAATGCTCGACCAATAGGTGAAATCAGAAAATACCTTTGGACTCTCGCAGTGAGGGAATGCTTGGTTGACAGAGGCCCTGTGGCCCCTCCCCCCCTCCCGCGGTCGCAGAACTATTCCTTTGCATCTAGAGTTTCAGTGTAGGTAATCTGGTCTAGAGGAACGTGGAAAAAAAACTTCACCGAAACCTTGGCTCAATTCAAGATAGCTCAATTTCAGTTCATCGCTGAAATGTGAACTGTAGTTGGACATAGGGTTTTCTGTTCTATTAGATTTCTCAGTGTATACACAACTACACCACATTCCGGGCCGACTCCTGCCCAGGCCAATCCAAGCCTTCTACCCTCCGGGGACGGTAAATTGGTACCAGATTCGTCTGGGAGGATAAAACACTGACTTGTACATCGGCTGGCCACCGCAAGTCATTGTATAGGCCACATCGCATTCAATAAGCCACTACGATTCTGAATGGAAGTAGAATGCGTGCCGCATCCCACAAAGGGATTGATCAACGGCGAAGACTTTATCCTTTTATCCTTTATTCAGTGTATATGAATTAGAGGAGGAGTAGTACTGCAGTTTCATGTTACTGATTTGTGGTGCTTTAGATACATCACCCACTTGATGAAGCGTATCGAGAAGGGACCCGTGCGTGGTATTTCCATCAAGCTCCAAGAAGAGGAACGTGAGAGGAGGGACAACTACATGCCGGAGATCTCTGCTGTCGATGCCTCCGTGATCGGTCAGCTCAAGGTCGACCCCGACACGAAGCACATGTTGGAATCAATGGTGAGTGCATATTTTTCTTACCATTAGTGTTTTCTTTTCGTGCAAAAATCAGCGCAGGGAGGTCATCTCGATAGGACTTTAACGTTGTAGTGTGGGCAGATTTAAAGAGGAAGACGTGTTGTAGCGGTAGTTTGTGGGACTATTGTGTGTATGGTCACCATTCCAAGCTGTATAGCATTATTGCTCTTCAGTGTAGTATTCAGACTTGATTTTTTTGACTCCGCAATTTTTTTGCCTTTTCGTAAAGCAACCAGATGGTTTTGTTGGAATGGTTCGGATTTTCCGAACGCAGATTTGCAGTTTATTGTTTGGGGTGGGGGGGGGGGAGGGAACCGTTTCGTGGGTGCAAACATTATGCGCTCTAAAGTGGGAAACTGGGGCGTGTAATGGGTGCATGTGTTAGTTTGCAATTTTCGAGTGTAATCTTTCCACAATGTGGAATGGTTTGCGAGTTATTTTGGTGTACTTCACACATTACCTAAAATTCCCATTGTAGACCTCTGTGGGACACACTCGGTGGGAAATTGTGAGATAATTCCAGTAGCGAGAGGTCGAGAGATGCCGTTCTCCCAGTTTCAGAGTTGCGTACATACTTCGCAATCCTATCGCGTGGCTCGCGTGACTTGATTGCTCGAGCGTTTGGATTGCGCGTTCACGACCTGGGCGCTTCTCGCCAATTTGTGAACTGCCGGAGGGCCAGAATTTAAGTGGCCCGTGTTCGTACACTCTATGAACGCGGCTCAGTTTGAATTTTGTCGTTGCGGCGGCCCACCGATTGGCTTTGGGGCGCTCCGTGTCCTGGTTGTGCGATTCATGCGGTCTGACCGCAAAGTATAAATGCATTCTCAGCGTGTTTTTCTTATGAAAGTTATGACAGGGTCTTGGGGGCGCCATTAAGCTTGGCCTTGTGCGTGAATAGTCATATTTTTCTCACGTGCTGACTTTGGTTCGATATTCAATTATGCAAGTAGTAGTTGCTGTGCACTTGCCGCTACCCCAAACATGGGAGGAACGTGGTTTTGTACCTCTTGGACATGGCATGAGATGCGTTTTTTTGTGGGGTGGTTCCGTTTGAGACAACTGACATCCTTGCTTTTTTGGACTTTTCCTGGGCTGCACAAGGATAGGATTTTTCTTGGTTTTATAAGATTGTTAAAACGCTATAGTCGCCCTAAAGCGCAGTTGTCACGTACGCGGCCACGCCCTGTTCATCTCTGGGATGTTGGGCATACATCTAAATAATGTATGGTGGGTCAATCCAAAGAGATGGACTGATTGCGACCAAGCAATCCTAATACATTATCTCCATTTTGACAGCGAGCAGCCAGAGGTTCCAAAGATTGTTTGTTTCTGTTTAGGGGACCGCTGTATCTCCCCCCCACTACCTCTCTCGTCGACATTCACGTTTACGTATAAGCCACTATGAATATCGTGGCTCTCCCTTTCCTCTTCCCTTCTGATCGTGTCAGAAAGATTGATCCCTTCGTTCATCATTGATTCCAGGCGTTCATCCCGGCTTGGGTGAAACTTTTCTGGAGAGATTCCCTGCAGAGTGGTCAGGAAAGTGCTGCCCATAGTTTTAGTTCTCATCTATATGCTAATGGCTGGAATACCAGGAAATGTGTACGTGATTAATGGGAGTGATGCCGTTATAAGCCCCTCGTGAGCAAGATCTTACCAAAGTTTTGGCTGCAGAAGCAAATCTCCTATAAGAAAGCTACTTACTGTGCATTCGCTCCATCAATCATGTCATTGATGCGAGTAGCAGATGTTGGATGGTTCGAAAAAAATGGAGCTATCGGTGAAAGCCGGCTTTCATTTCTGAATATTTTTCCCGTTCATGGATAATGCTTTGGTGTTGTTAATAAGATTTTGGGCAGTTTTGGTGAATATTCAAACGTAAGGATATTATGGTAAGGTCATCCAAAAAAGCGGCAGTCTCCATTCATGCCGTGGTAGACTGAAGACAAACCCCGCGATTACCAGTCATTGGAAGTGGGGTTCAGAAATGAGCATGTCGTTGGCCAGTGAGTCCACCGCAGCATGAATGGAGAATGCCACGCTTCTAGGCAGTGAAAGAAAAACCGTGAGCGCTTCTGGCTGATTCTTTGACCGCGTTCAGACTTCGCGGTTGAATCGCTCGACTGGATCGCGCGATACACTCGCTCGAGCGATCCTATCGCGAAGTCTGAACACGGTCAAAGAAACTGTTGGATACGCAGAACAAGTCCTATTTGACTTTCGGACATATGGATTTAATGCTGGAAAACAGTTGCTGCCACCGCCTATATGCACCCCTGACTCGCAATCGTTTTATTCTCATCATCCTGTGAAGACGACGATTTGTTTGGGTAAGCACAAGAGGAAAGCACTGAACATGAGGCTTGTGCTCTTAGTCTATCGTAGAAGCGATCCTCCGCCCTATACACCGTTCACTCACAGTCAGTCTCGTGCCGCCTGTTTTATGTATCGCCTAGAACTTCTTGATCCGTCACGACCTTCTGTTCTTCCCGTGTCTAAGGAAAATCTCTTTGTTGAACGGTAG